AGTGAAAACTTTGATTGTTGTCCTTGTTGCCATATGTATAAAAACACCACAAAAGTCCCCAATGCTTGTGTTGCTAAAACATGGAAGACTGGGTTTGAACATTTTTAAAGAAATGGTTCATGTGGGAAATGTTAAATATAGTATAAAATTACCTTTAGCGCCTTCTGAAAGCAATTTTTGAAAATTTGAACAAATGTCTCAGTTTTAGATGCTGTCTAAGATGAGAATAGGCTGGATATGGGTACAGCCAAAGTCATCCTCATTGTTAAAACCAAGTTGAGATTGTCATGCATTGGATTTCACACTTTGTTAACTTGGATATAATTTCAAAAAAGAAAAATCCACTCTCCCAGCAAGTCAATACTTGGAAACCTATCTAAAATGCTGTCCTTTGGTTCATGAAGTGCCACTGTTCTGCAAACTCATTTTGCTACTTCAGTAACTAAAGCCTGTTGGATAGAGTCCAAGGCCAGCTCTGATTACATGGAATCCCACTCTAAAGGCAAGCATGTCAGTAGGAGAAGAACCTCACACCTGTTAGGTGTTCTAGCCATGTAGTCTGAACTTGCTGTCTCCATTGGATACATGCTCAGTGTTTAGAAATGCAGAGGTTGTGGCCCATATGTGGCTCACCCAGCTCCACAGGAACCCAGGATGAGTTGGCAGACTGAGAAGGGGAAGGAGTAAAAAATGCTTACTTCCTTTTTTCTTCTGTCTCTCCCTATTTTCTTCTGTCTCTCCCTATTTTCCCACTTCTAAAATGCCATGACAGCCCTACATGTAAAGCAAGTAGTTTTAAAAGGATAACATATATTTAAATGAGTAACAGAGGCGTACCAGATGTTTTGGGCACCTAAAACAGCTTCAGTGAAAGGCAAAAGCAAAGCTGAAAGACACCAAAACAAGTAGGAAATAGAAAGTGACGATGAGTTCTACCAAGCCCTGCTTGTTTCGTCCCCAAATTATATGGCGGAGAGAAAGACTGAGTTCAGAAAAGGAGACCCTCTGGGCCATGAGTTTTGGGATTTTCTAAATGTGCTCTGTTGAACTCGGTCTAGGACTTCTGCTTCGTACCCTCCCTCCCACTCTCACCGCTCAATAAAATTATCTTTGATTACAACTTATCTTAAATTCTGTGCTTTCCAAAACCCTATCGAGCCAAGAAAGTTTGGGGGTCTCGTGAGTGTGGTTCAATGCGTGTATATATTCGAGGCTCTGTGGCTTCCTTTGCTTGTTGTAGATGATGTGTCTGAAGAGATATCCATGACATGACCTTAGTGTTTCCCTTTATCGTGGAATTTTTTTTCCAACCACATTTCTTAGCAACTGTCACTCAAAGTCTAGTGACCTAGATTAGTACCAAACTGGCCTGTGATACACAGTGGTCAGTCCAAACTATCATTGCTGGTTTAAAGAAACATATCAAGCCCTCCTCCAGGCTAAATAAGTGCCTTGGACTTAGTATTCCCTATTTAACGATTTGCCAAAAATACAATCACCTTGCATGGCTCATAAGTGAAAGCTGAAGCAGGTAACATTTATTCTAAACATAACAGCTACTGCTCTACTAGGAAAATAGGGGAAAGTAGGACATTTAAGCATGCATGTGTTCTCTGCTAATAGTTGCATTGTGAGACACTGGACAGTTTCTATGAAGATGGTAGATTTACTTTATATGTAGGATTTCCAAGCTATTGCAATTTATTTTAAAAAGCATATATTGTGTAAGTATGTTCTTCACGTTCTTTTCCAATTAAATTTTACATAAAAACAACTACAAAAAAAGGTTAAATTAATACCTCTTATGTAAATGCTATTAACTTTTGGGTAGATAAATAACTTTGTCCTTAAGTTCATGACTCTATTATCTACTTATTTTCACACCAACATAACTATAAAGCAGTGCCCTAAAAGTCCTCCCAGGAGCCTTGACCAAACTACCCATACTTGTTGACAATTTAAAAATTAAGAATAATCAGTCATTTATTCTATAACTTGCAAAGATTGAGAAGAATTATTAATCTAAGAAGGCTTCACACCAAATTCACGATCCTACTGCTGGTACTTGGAGGTATTCTGCCAAGCTTCTTAGTTTGAAACCAGTTAATTGTCCTCATTTTAGATTTAAGATAACATAATAGGTAGTAGTCAATCTGTTCTTTCTGGTTTTAACAGTTAAGAAGATTTTAGTCTTTGTTTTACTTTAATTACCCAATTAACTTCTTGGTTATACCGCTATCTTGGGATCAAAAACCTGCAAACGATTTTAGGCTTCATGTTAATAGCAGAAGGAGAATGGAACCTACCAAGTACAATCCAGAAAAGGAATGGCTAAGCATGGATTTGATTTGAGTTCAAAAAGCAAAACTTTTAGAAGATGAGATAATGTGACACATTAATGTCACATTTTTTAAATAATTTACAAAATACTCCCATTTCCGGGTTGGAACTCTAACTTCTGGCAATCTAAAACTACACTATCCCGTTAGAATAGTTGGTGATGTTGTCAGACACGCTTTGAATTAACCCATCAATTCACACCCAAGTACTTTAGCATTCATAAGCTGCAAAATAAATTACTCTAAAAATAATATGTCATTTGACACCTTCCAATATGCCTTGAAAGGAAAAAAAAAGTCTACTTTATTCTAGAGAGATGCAAGTGGGTGGGGTGGGGGAGGTGTAATAAAAATATCTTGCACCGTGTGGGGGGGGGGGGAATTAGTGTTTCCAGTAAAACTGCTTACAAAAAAAATTATAAAAGCAGAATTTTTTTCCCATTCTCCAGTACTATAGAGGGACTGACTTTAAGGTCCCTAAACAAATGGCCGAGTCTAAAAAAAAAAAAAAAAGCTTTTACAGTATCCCTTTCTCAGAAGGGAGCTAAATCCACAGGACACGAGAAGGCTTCAAAACCCACTATTTTTACTGCCTGAAGGCGCAAGCCCTCCCTCCCAAGAGCAGCCCTTGGCTTGTCCCACTCGGGTAACTCTTGCAAAAAGGGTCTTCACATTAACTTGAGTGTTGCAGCTCTAGGTATCACCAAAATGTCAGCAAGTGTTGGGCTCCATGCGGGGTGGGGGTACACCTCACAGTTGAATTAGAAATGGGGTGGTAAGGTGACAATAGCGCTTTCTCCTTGGGCAATGCTCAGGATGGTGGTTATCGGTTCAGAGTTGCTAAACGCTGAGGAGTTGAGGGAGAGAAGGGTAAAAGGACAGGGAATGGAGGAGGAGGGTGAGAAGGGAGGGAGGGAGAGGGAGAGGAGGGAACGGAGGGCGACGGTGCGAAAGGGGTAGAGCTACAGCACGGGGATGAGAAGTCCAGGGCAGAGGCTCGGAGCCCACTGCAGCGCGGCGCCCGCGGGCAGCCAGTGACTTCTTGCTCCCAGAGCCTCCCCAGCTCCCTAAAAGGCCCAGCTGGGGCAACTGCCCAGGCGTCCTCCGCCCGCACGCGAGCATCTGCCCTTTCGGACGGTCCAACGACTCGCAGTTTCCCTACTCCTGCAGCACTGGGGGCCTCACAGGGTGCTCAGCCTCCATACCCACCACCTCCAACCCCGCCCACCCACCACTCCTCCTCCTCCTCCCCCTCCTCCTCCTCCTCCTCCTCCCCCCCCCCCGCTCTCGCTCCGGGCACCCGCAGACGGAAGCCGCCTCGGAGCGAACCGCCCCAGCTACGCTGCATTTGCAAGATTCGGAGGCAGGGAGGCAGCAGCCACTTGCTGCCGGGCCGCTGGGGCTCGGGATGCCAGCGCGGCCCTCGGCGGAGCTCCGGGTGTCAGGGCGGCCGCGGGGAGCCATGATCTACTACACCGCAGTGCCAGCGTCAGGAGCCTCCAGCGCGGGTCTGCCACTGCGGGACGCCCGCGGCCCCGCCCCCGCCCCCCAACGCAGCCCCAGACACAAACACCCGGCCCCCCCGGCCCTCCCCAGCCTGAACTGAACCCGGGGACGCCACACACCCCCGCTGCCCGCGCGCGCGGCTCCCAGACTGGCTGCGCCCAGCCTCCTCGTCGGCGCGCCGCCGCCGCCACGCAGCCCTCCGGCCTGGCCTCCCCCAGTTGCTCGCCCACAGCTTCGCGGCCGTCCCCCAAACGCCTCAGATTGGGACACCGGGAAGTGAACCTCCGGGACTCGACTCCCCGAATCACCTGCATTTGCATTTCTTATGTAATGCACTGCAAGTTTCCCGGTTGGAGCCTTTGAAATAGGGGCGCATGATTACCGAAGCCTGAAGCTGGAACCCACTGCCCGGCTCATCCCACCCGCGGAACTCGGGGGCAGGGTTTTGACACTGCTTTTTCCAAGGAGGGGGGTAGTTAAATTGCATATATTCGAGGGGGCTGGGCTTGTCTTCTCCGTCTGGGGTTTCCCCAGGCATAAGCCCAGCTCAAGTATTCCCAGTGGCAGGAGGTGTCGGGGGCAGACGGGGGAATGAGTTAATACTCGTGCACGGAGAGCTAGACGGGGGAGGGAGGCGGGGGCTGACGGAGGAGCGGGGCCGCGAGGCAGAGGGCCTCTTTTACTTTGGTAAAGGTGATGGGGTGGCGAATATTGTGCAAGCTAATCAGAAAGTCTAGAGCAGGTCCTCGGCACCTAGCTACGTCCCTGAACCTGCTGCAGAAGTAAAGAGAGCTCGCGGTTCTTTCTCCTGGCAACTACGGAACCTTCAGCTGCCTTGGGCAAAACCTTAAGCCACAGCCCTTCAATATTCCACCGAACATAGGCAACCAAATACATTTAAAAAAAAAAAAGTTTCCTCCTCCCTCCTAGTGATGGATTGTGTCACAGCCAAGAGATGCTGATAATGGTTTTCGGGCTCAGAGACGCCGATCCAGCTGTTACTTGTTTATCCATCAACACCTCTATATGCAACACTGTCCTGGTTCCTTTTCTGTTTCCCCTGCCTTCCTGCATAGCAGAACTGCAGATCTAGCTCAATGAGCAACAGACAGGTTATTATGAGGAAAAACATAACATGATGCATGTTTTGCTTACCAGTTGGGTTCTTGTTTTTCTTAAGACTCTTGCCACAAAGACACTGCAGCATATGCGTTCCTTTGCTGAAAATGTTCCAAAGAAACCACATTGATTTGGGCGAAAAGCAATCCAGCAGCTTAGACACCCTGAGAAAGAAGAGATCCTTGTGGTTGCATAATAATAATTTGAAATCAGTTCTCCTGAAGAGGGGCACCGGTTTTACCATAGGAAAAACGATAATATTCCGGATCTTCTCCCAGTTTTTTCCCCTCACGTGGTATATTTCTTTGAGACTTCTCAGTGATTGTTTTTTTTCGGCCAGGGTGAATGATTTATCCCCCTCGATCACCACTGGATTATTACCAAAGGGTTGGAAAAAAAATCCTTTTTCAGCATGAAGCCAAACAAAAAAGCAAAGAAATCCCAACAGAGACCAGAACTAATCAGAGAGAACAGTAATGCACAAAAGATCCCCAAAGAGAAAACCATAGCCTTTTACTTGATCGCTATGAGGATGGGTGGGTCTGCAGAAGGCAAAGCAGGATTCATCTCACTGAGAGAAGACTGCCATTGTGTAGCCCCTAGGAGAGAAGGAAAAAAAAAAGGGAAAGAAAGAAAGAAAGAAAGAAAGAAGAAGAAGAAGAAAAAGAAAAAAAAAACCACCAGCACACACACACACACCAATACCACCTCCGAGATCGAGTCTGACAGCCGAAGACAGAGCCTCCCTTCTCCTAGTGTCGGTTTTTTGGTTTTTTTTGTTTTTTGTTTTTTGTTTTAATAATCAATCTCCAGTGCTCAGTGGGATCGGATTGAACCTGCAGTTCTCAATCACCACGAAGAAAAGATGCAAATCCAGGTGCCCCCTCCCCTGGTCAGGCTGGTAGTAGGTAGAGAGCGCCACAGATCCCCTTCCTCCTTCCCGTCACTCTCCCAGTTTCCAACAACGGTGAGCATGAGGAAAATCTCCCCTCCGGATTCCTCGCCCAGCCTCGGATGTGAGTTACAGGCATTAGAGGGAGGAGGAGGAGGAGTTGAAGTTTGCATTGAAAAGACTGGCTTTCCATGACGTAGCCACGTGCTTTCAGACCCGTCACCAGTGAGATGCTTCAACCCGCCCGGGGAGGGCAGTGTCACTGCAGTCTCTCCGCTACTTTCTCCCTGGAAGTCCCCCGTTGCCGGCACCCCAGCCCCAGCCCCAGCCCCGGACCCTCTCCCTCCTTTTCCCGGAATGAGCCGGCGGGCTGCTTGCTCCTGGAGCCATCTAACAGAGCCTTCTGTTAAAAGTGAATTTTGAAAAGGAAAATTAACAATTATAATGAGTAAATCTTAGAAAATAGGTGAGAGGGAAGGGGTTTGAAGAGAAACAGTAGTTTATGACCACCCCTCACAGCCAAAATGAGCTCCACCTTAACTTAATTCGCAAAAACAGCATAGAAAGCCTCTAAAACATTAAGGAAAACTCAAGTCCCTTTGGTTCTTATTATTTGAATTCTACTTAAAGTGCTGTTTGAAAAATATAGACTAGGCATATGACAAATATGTACTTAAGAAACAGCCTGTTAAAAAGACAACCACTAAAATCTAGGTGGCAAACTATATTTTGGTTGAGAGGGTCATATGAGAAACGTTAACACCTTTTCTAGAAAGATAATCCATTATCTTCCAAAATAATTTTTTTGAACAGAAAACTTTCTGTTTAGATTACACTTTATTCATTGCTTGTTTCCGCAACCATTAATTGAACTAACATTAAATTCCCCTTCGTTCCCTTCTCATCTACACTAACATAAAACCGTGTCACCTGCCGCCACTACCTAACCTAACAAAATGGACAAATTTTCTATTTCACCAGGTTATAACCCAGCTTCCTACTTCCTCAGAAAATCAAAAGATTTAAGGCAGGACTAAAGATTTTGTCTTATTTGGGGAAAAAATACAATGTATTAAATATACAAACTAGTACACAGAATAATATCACAAACTCCAGAATACTCATGACTCAAATTAATGAATATTAGCACTTCAACATATTTGTGACCTGAGCATTTCAGAAAAGTAAAATTGACTTCTCTCACTCTTGTTAAGTAAACGAATTAAAGTTATGCCAATTTATTTCCATTTTATGGAAAACTGACATAAAATTTTTAACTAATTTAAAAATATGTTCTTAGGGGTGCCTGGGTGGCTCAGTCAGTTAAGCAGCTGCCTTTGGCTCAGGTCATGATCCCAGGGTCCTGGGATTGAGCCCCGCATCAGGCTCTGCACTCAGTGGGGGGTCTGCCTCTCCCTCTCCCCCTGCTCCTTCTCTCTCTCAAATAAATAAATAAATAAAATATTTTTTAAAATAAAAATATGTTTTTAGAAGCTCCATTTTAATTCCAAAAAATTAAAATCTCAAGATGCCTCTACTGCGTGGGATATCAAACTATCTTAAAAACAAAGAGCTGTTGATTTGTTGTTGAGGATTAAGTAAAGAAATTGACTTTAAAAAAATTAACCCCTTGACTAGCAGTTATCAAAAAATAAAAACTGTAGTAACTTTCCCACTGCTAGAGTTTTCTAATATCTGAGATGAGATGTCAAAATTTGCATCCAATATCCAGAACCCTTTTGGGAAACATTAGTCAATTTCAGGTAAGATAGAAAAAGAATCTAAAACAAATAAATTCTATTAAAGTTAAGAAACTGGAAAGTTAAATAGTGATGCCCTCAATGTGCCAAAAGAGTCATGTCATAAAGCTCAAGGAAATTACCAAGATTAATGGCAGTGTAAATAAAGTTTGGGAAGTAAAGAAAGAGGGAATACTAAGAATCTATAAAATTAATGCCAAATGACTTAGGAGAAGCAGCCTGGAAAAAAAAATGAAGAACAGAATTCCTTTTTGAAAGAGGAAAAATGGGATAGCATTGCCAAATAATTAGGAAAGCATTTTTTATATTAATCAATCAGGGACGAATACCGTATGCTGCTTCTATAACATTCTGGTGTCCTGTCGTGGGTTCCAGAATATCCCAATATGGACAGATGCCAGAGAAACAGTTGAATCAAAAATATTCTCCCATCAAGTTCTTCTGAATTCACATAGCTCTACGGTTCTATAAAAGCTTGCTGAGTTCCCTGAGGTATTTCACAAGTAGAGTAAAATCTGGGGAGATGTTCTGTAATTATTGAAACTTTTTACATGCTAAGTTTGTGTAAAAAGAACACTTCTCATACTGGTTTTTCTTGCATTTCCAAATTGGACTCTCTTCTTTACATTGCGACCATGAATTTGATCCCTCCTCAAATAAAGACTTACTGCCAGAAAGCTATGGTTTGTTTTCCTATATATTGGTGGAAATTATTACATCTTTGTCCTATCACCTAAGGAACAACATAAAAGGTCATTAACTGTGACTTCTATTTATTGAGAATCTATTATGCCAGGCACTGTGTTAGTTGCTTCTCATCTTTTATGCTATTTAAAGGAAAGATAAATCTTTTAGTATAATGTATGAGATTTCTATAGTTCTTTTCTATATTTACTGATACATTATTTACTTATGTTACATAGGCTATTGTTAACATTATGAAACAAACAAAAAAATACCAAATATTTTTGTCTGGAAAAGATGGCCTAACCCTGTTCCAAAGGACTTGGGATTCCTGATGACCTCTCAGTCACTCAATTCAATTATTCAACCATTATTTATTGAGCATTGGCCCCCCTGTGAAAGTAACTGTACAGGACTCCATGTTGCATGCTAACCTATAAAATTAAACCAGCTCTCCAGTTACACAATAAAGAAGACCAAGAGTAGTCCAAGAATCAACACAGGTTTCTGGGGGCCTCCATTTTAGGGATGATCCGAAGATACTTTCACTGACCTGAGTTCAGACCGTTATTTAAGTTGCGTTTTGGAAGACATCAAAGTTGTTACTTATGCTTTGTCATGTTACAAATCACTATTAGATGACAAAAATTAAAACTATTAGAAAAAAATGCAAGCTTTAGAACTCATGTAAATAAAGCTAAAATGAGGTAAGCCTCATCATAACTGTAAGAATTAACAGTAAAATTTGTGGCATATATAGGTAGGAAAGCCTATTTTCATTAGGCTGAGGTAAAATAAACCCATTACAATTAAGGTCGTCTAAAAATTAAACATATCTACAGCACATCATAGTTAACTAACCTAAAGATAAGTATAATGACTAGAATTTCAGAACACAATAAAATATACATTTTATTTTAATATAGAACATATGAACTTTCATGAGATTAGGAATCAAAAGTCTTTGTAACTGTCTTAGCATGCTTTTTCCAATTATTCCCAGGAGTTACTTTTCTATATCATTCTTTCTTTTAATAATAAAATCCCACTCCCCACCACAGTTTTGGAAGGACACATGGGTACCCAGGTAGTGAAGAGAACGCCCAACCTCCGTCGCAGCGAAGTTGTGGTCATGTGACTGGGTTCTGACCAATGAGATGTGAGCAGAAGAAGACTTCCTGGTCACATTCTTCAAAGGAAGCTGCTTGTCTTCACTTCTCCCTTTGTCCTTCCTATGAGCTGAAAGGAACGGTGTGAGCAGCTTTGACAGCACAGACAGGTACACAGCCCAGGAATGAAGTACCGAGATAGAAGAAACTCGGTCAGAGCAGCCAACCTGTCCCTGACTGCCCACTTACCTCTGCACTTGAGGTGACAGAGAAAGAAACTTTTATTTTGTTTGAGCCACTGTATTCTGTGTGATTTGATCACAGCGGCTTATTCTCTCTACTATCTTAGGGACTGGTCTGCAATTAATAACACACTTATATTTGGGTTACTTATGTTAAAAGGATAAAGAACACACGTACATCACTTATAAACTATGGCTTTCTTCACAGCCTGTGACTCCCCTTTCCATTCACTAAAGCAGCTACTGATCTCTTAGCTGCCTTTTATAAACTCTCCTGCTTATCCTCACGTCCGGTGCAAACATCCCATTGTCAGATCTTACTTCCTTTGTCTCCTTCTCTGCCCTGCTCCCTGCCCATTAGATGTAACCTATGACAGTTTGGAGCTTATGACCATAACAGTAAAGCTTTGATCACTGAAAGGAGAAGAAAGACAGAGGGCATAGTGATTGGAAGAAAGAGGAGGTCAGAAACAGAAAAAGAAGACCAGTGTGTACATGAGGACCTCCGTGTCTATATTTACCTTGTAAGCCTTTTTCAAAAAGATGGTGCCTTTTGTTGTTTGCACACTTATTCCTTCTCTATCGTTGCTGTGAACGATTATCATCACTTTTTAAGGGATAATTCTAAATTCCGCATCACTGTACCA